GTGTGACAGTGTCCTCTGTGTGACATCATCCTCCAGTGTGAGAGCATCTTCCTGTGTGACAGCATCCTCCACGTGACAACGTCCTCCTGTGTGACAGTGTCCTCTGCATGACAGCATCCTCCAGTGTGACAGTGTTCTCCACATGACAGCCTCTGTCCTCCAGAAGGAGAGGCACAGACGCCTGTGGCAGAACTGGCCACCAGATTCTCCACATACCCTCGGTGCCTGCCTGGTAGCATACACAAAGGCTGTTCGCTATAACATTATCTGTGATGCCAAAGGGCAAAAGAAACCTCAAATGTCCATAGAAGGGAAAAAGCCTAAGTGACAGAGGGTCCATCTCCAGGGTGGACACCAGAGGATACTCCCCACAGCTGAAGCAGGATGGCCCTGGCCCTCGTTCACATCCTCCATTTGCAACTTGAATTGACACATCCTGGACCGCCTTGACACAGCATCTCACCTTCCTCCCTGCTTCCTCCCAGCAGTCTCCTGGGGCTCTCCAGTGGTAGGTGACTCTGGTAGACTCCCCTAAAACCTCATGATGACCACTAGCATGAGCACTTGCCAGGCAGGTGGTCTGGGTGTCAGAGAAGGGCCTGGAGGAGGGCTGCAAAGCAGGACCACCTACCTCCTCTTAGTAACAGGCCTCTGTAGGCTCTGAGATGGGAGCTGTGGCTGCTGCCCTCCTGAGCTTGGCAGTGTTTAGTGTGGGAAGGACTCCAGGTGCAAGGGAACGGTGAGGAGACCTTGGGATTTATATATTATTAAACTAAAACACAGGAATTTCAATATTTGGAAAGAGGGCTGGTGCTGACTGTCCACATCAGCCTGAGGGTCATTGCACCATGTCCTGGCCAGGGGACAGCACCCTTTCCTACCTGGAGTGAAGTCGTCCTGAGAGGTGCGGCCAGAAGGGCTGGACCCCAAGTCCAATAGCTTCCATGTGTCCTGGAGGGAGCTGCTGGCAAGGGACGATGACCTTTGGGAGTGGTGGCCATTTTCTTCATAGAATTCTTGATCCTGCAGTGGCTTTGGGGACCTGTTTTCTTTCTGAGGAGCTGGTTTGCAGGTCACTGTGGGGATTCTATGTTGCTTCTATAAATGTTAGAAAAGACATATCATCCTTGAAAGCCACCCTCTCTCCAACCTGCATGAGCAATAGGGCTTCCTGCCCTACTCCATATTGTTCGGGCAGAAGACTAGGGCACCTCTCAGCCGCCAGGAGGGGCACCAGAGGCAGGGAGCCCACTCAGGCGAGTGTGTCTGAGCTCTGGGAACACAGGGTGTTAGCAGTGCCTAAATCACAGGCTCCTCTGAATATTTATTTATTTATTTATTTAAGACAGAGTCTTACTATGTTGCCCTTGGTAGAGTGCTATGGTGTCACAGCTCACAGCAACCTCAAACTCTTGGGCTTAAGCGATTCTCCTGCCTCAGCCTCCCAAGTAGCTGGGACTACAGGTGCCCACCACAATGCCCAGTTGTTTTTTTGTTGAATTGTTGTTGTTTAGCTGGCCTGGGCTGGGTTCGAACCTGCCAGCCCCAGTGTATTTGGCTGGCGCCCTACCCACTGCACTATGGGCACTGAGCTGCCTCTCAACATTTAAAGGATGAAACAATTCTAGAACTAAAGCACCTCTATGAGAACAAATAATAATAAAAAAAATGAAGGACAAAACAAGCCCAGGGCTGGAGCTGTCCAGCCAGGACCAAGTATGGGATGAACTGAAAGGCTGATGCCGCAGGGCCCCTCGGCTGCACAGACGGAAGCCATTGCCTTCAGGTGTCCTGGTGCCCCTGCCCTAGTGTCCTTGTGGGGCCCACTCATCACTTGAGATAAAGCTTGCGTGATAGGATTCTCAGGTCCCCAGCCTCATCTGGCACTGAGTGCCTGGCCACCCCAGCACCAACCTGAACAGGCAGTGCCGCTGCTGCCTTATGGCCTCGTGGAGCATCCTCTCTGCTGAACATCTGCAGCAAGTGGCGTTGGCTCTTTCCTAAGTCTTCAGAAAACCATCCTTTCTTGGCATCGTCATGATCCTGGCACAGAAATTCAAATGAAAGGAATTCGAGTTTCATGTGTCACCAATGGTGTAAGCCAATGAGCTTTCCCATCAGAGTAGGAAGAAATGTTGTCCCTCAACTTCTGTATAAGGGATTCTCTTCATGGGGTGATAGGCCAAAAGGAAGGGCCACACTTGCTTTCACTAGCCAGGATGGATGTAACATTCTTCCGAAAGTCAATCTAAGTCCTCACACCTGCCAGCACTGAGCATCTAGCCATCAGGAGCTTCCTCTGCATAGCCAGGACAGTCGTGCATGGCCCTGGCCTGAGGCAAGAGCCCCCAGCCCTTCAGGCAAGGCCTGCATCTTCCGTGGTCAGCTGCTGCCCATCTGTATCTCAGCGTTTGACTCTAGCCTGCCCCACAGGGAAGACTGAAGAGAAGAAGCCAATAGGGAGCACAGAGGAGGTCACTTGAGGGGCGTGAAAGGAAACATAGCAGAGAACAGAGAGAAGGTCTCGGTGTGACTGGACTTGCAGAGCCATGAGCAGCAAGGAGGGCCCTGGACCAGCCCCACCTCTACCTCTTCCCAGGCACCTGAGAGAGCACCACTACGGCTGCGGCACAGCCTTGCTGGCCATGTCCAACTAACGTTTCAATTTCTACTGAGTAGCAGGTGCACATCCTTGCCCTTCATGTGTCACTCCCTGGATGCCAGCAAAAGCAAAGAAAGACAAAGATGAAGGCCAGGTGCGGTGGCTCATGCCTGTAAACCCAGCACTCTGGAGGCTGAGGCAGGTGGATTACTTGAGTTCAGGAGTTCAAGATCAGCTTAAGCAAGAGGGAGACCCTGTCTCTTTTAAAAATAGAAAAACTAGCCAGGTATTGTGACCAGTGCCTACAGTCCCAGATACTCAGGAGGCTGAGGCAGGAGGATCACTTGAGCCCAGGAGTTTGAGGTTGGTATGAGTGATGACACCACAGCACTCTACCCAGGGTGACTGAGTAAGACTCTGTCTCAAAAAAAAAACAAACAAAAAAACACAACAAAACTAACAAATCATCTGAAGGAACTGGAAAAGGAAGAGCAATCCAATCCCAAATCCAGCGGAAGAAAAAAAATAACCAAGATGAGAGCAGAACTAAATGAAATCAAGAACAAAAGAACCATTCAGAAGATTAATAAAAGAAAAAGTTGGTTCTTTGAAAAGATAAACAAAATCGATAAGCCCTTGCCCAGTTTAACCAGAAACAGAAAAGTAAGATCTCTAATAAGCTTCATCAGAAATAAAAATGTGGAAATAACAACAGATACCACAGAAATACAAAATATTACCACCAAATACTACAAAAATCTCTATGACCAGAAATTTGAAAATGTGGAGGAAATGGACAAATACCTAGAATCACACTACCTCCCCAGACTCAACCAGGAAGAAGTGGAACTCTTGGACAGACCAATACTAAGCACCGAAATTGAAATAATAAAAAAGCTTCAAAGGGCTCAGCGCCTATAGCTCAACCGGCTAAGGTGCCACCCACGTACACCTAAGGTGGCGGGTTCGAATCCCCAGCCCGGACCCGCCAAACAACAATGACGGCTACAACCAAAAAATAGCCAGGCGTTGTGGCGGGCGCCTGTGGTCCCAGCTACTTGGGAGGTAGAGGCAGGAGACTCGTTTGAGC